ATCTATCTATCTATCTATCTATCTATCTATCTATCTATCTATCTATCATCTATCTGTTATTTATTTAAAGGAAAATCTGAGGAGAATATAAAATAAGATAAATCAACTCACCTCCTGTAGGCGGTCTATGTACATACGGCAAGTCTCCAAATCACAGTCTCCACGAACAACTAGAATACCCAGTGGGATGGCTGAGGATGGAAGAAAGAAGAAAAGTCTAAAAAAACACGCATGGTCTTTAGACCGACTTAAATGTGTTTCTCACGGGTCAGAAAAAAAAAAAGAATATTATAGGTGTGTGGAAATGTGGATACAGCTGGGAAAAGAACTAAGTGACTCTCTATAAAACTCCTTGGCGGCCGCACCTTTGTCTTCCCAGCAGGTGTCATATATTTACCTTGTTTGACTCATGTTGTCCTTGCCACCTGGCTGTTACCTCAGTGGCCCTGATATGAAATATACTAGCTAATATCACAGTAACAATGGGACTGTAGAACTGGATAGCCGCTCACTGCCAGCTGATAATAGATACCTACATTTGCCGTGGACAGCATGAAGCCACAGCCTGAGGAAGTCATTAATCATTCAGAATTCTGGACACTCGCCCTTTTCCCTCTTGAATACACAAGCCTCATCTTTTGGCACATTTGCAATAACTTGCTATTTCTAAAATGAAAGCTATTTGAATAGTGTTGCTGCCTGAAGAGTAACAGCAAAATTAAACAGCTAAAACTGAAGGAGGGAGATGAGAGAGGGAATGCAGGAGGGCATATGCAGGAGGACATAGGAAGAAAGGATTCTTCAAGGTAATCCAAGTGATTTTAGAGAGGTCCAGCATTAATTGTGGTTAACGTCAAGGCCTTGGGTAGCATTAGGGAGAAGCCAAGTTACACATCAATTTAGGTAAATAAAGATGTCACACTGGCTTTAGTGAGCAGACCTTCCTACTTTGGATATAAACATTGATATTTCTAAAATATTTTTAAAAAATACTCCCCCTTCCCAAAACAAAAAAATATGCACTTCTTATTTTAAAATACAGTTACAATGTTAGATCCATGATTTAACACAAAAATGTCAAAATCAAATCCATCAGGAAGAAACAAGCAAGCAACTATATGATCGTGGTGCTTACTATATTAAGTCTTTCGTGGATTAAAGTTAGTTTTAAAGCTTCACTATGAACCGATAAAATTACAAAGTGGGATACATAATTTACACTGAGGCTATTCTCTGAAGCACGTGAAGCCCCTTTTATCTTTTATCTAGAAAAGCATGGATAGTCCCAAGAAAAGCAAGCAGCTCCTTACCCAACACTAGTCCCTGGACCGATTTCCACTAGGAAGAACACATCAGTACTAGTTTTTTCTTGCAGATTCCTCAAGTCCTGCATACATCAGTCTTTGGAGCATCCATGACCTAGCTGAACTACTGGAGTCTGGGAGTGAGTGTGAACCCAATCACAAAAAGGATCAGGCCTTCTACTGTCCCCTCCCCAGCACATGGTAGAGAAATGGTAAGTGGTGAAAAGTGTGTGTAAAAGAAAGAAGATGAGTTAGCGCTCATTCAAACACAAAAGAAAAAAGTGTACCTTTAAGGCACACGTCATCTTTATGGGGTAGACAAAAGTTGAAGCAGAGAAGTAAAGAACACGTGTGGGGCTCTGAATCATCACTGGTTTTTCTTCAAGAAGCTAAGTGAACGAGTCAATAAGCAGAAGGTGAAGCAGCCTCCCGGTGCCATGTTTGGAAGAATAACCTCAGAAGACTACAATTTCCTTCTTTTTGACAATAAAAATAAACAGTAAGAAGTGTTAGAGTGGCACCCAGGCATTGTTGAAGGGAACGGGATGGAAGTACCTTTTCGATTTTACTGACGAGATAAAAATACCTCTTTACTCATTAAGGAGACCGGCCAGGCATGGTATGCTGTAGGCAAAGCAGAGGCTGAGGAAGAAGAATCACAAGTTACAGCCTAGCCCAGGCTACACAGTGAGTTCCAGAACACTGTGAACTACAATCTTAAAACCAGGAAGCAAACAAACAATAAATATGTGAATTGCCCTCAGCTATACTATCAGATAACCCAACTATTGTGAGCCACCAAGCTAAGAACTAAATAATGTTTTAATAGTCGAAGATCGTGAGAAAAGCGAAAATTTTTCGCTGGATACAGAAATAAGTCAAAAGTTATGGAAACTAAATATAGCTATAATTCAGAAATTCAGAAAGTTTATGTGGAAATCTTGCCAAATACTTTTTCTTAATTTCAAATGTGCAACTGTGCAGAAATAAAATTTGATCAATACATATTTTCTTAAATTTGGAGATAAACTTCATAGAAATTAAGAATAATCTTTCCAACACCTCTTATTTTCTTCAGTTATTAATACCTGGAGTTACACTTGTCTGAATATAAACTAGTCAATATACCTAATCGCAGGCATTTTAAACTACAATTAGATAATAAATATTTATGGTTGAGAATCTACCAGCAGTAGCTAGAAAAGCTGTTTTTCAAAGATTATACACTACCTGTATAATTGACAGCTTTTGTCTACTCCTAAAATAGGTGAGTACAAATAACTGTATTTGACTAAATAATGCTTAGTTATTCGAGAAAAAGAAAGGTGACCTCTCACCACTTCATTGCATGTTTGCAATCAACAGTCAAGTGCGCTTTGAGAAGGTACAGTGTGCAGCAGGAAGGGCGCACAGCCCTTCATGCCTCTATTCCCCCAGCTCTGGACTTGACAACTGTTCAGCTTAGCTCTTTGTTCTTGCAGTGAAATTACTCAGTCCCTTTCAGACTAGGCTTGAAAGCTACTGTGTTTAGAAAAGGTATTTGCAGAATTTTGTGAAGACGAAATCTCACACTATATTTAAAATCGAGTTGGCACACTAAAGCGTGGTCTGATGCTCTGTGTTTGGTTGTTAACTATGTTGCTCCCTGAAGTCTTTCTGCTGTCCCTTACGAGTAGACACTCATGAACCCCAACTATTGCTATGTAACCTTGCCTCCCTGATCGACTGAATAAATGCCTATATACCTGGGGAGGGCAGAGTATGTAAGTGTGTGGCCAGAGTTCATGGGCTTGAGGACAGGAGGATCATGGGAAGAAGGAGAGAGGTACTGGAAGAGGAAGCCTTGAAGCAGAGAGCCATGATGGGTTAGCATGGAGAGCAGCACATGCCAGATCAGTCTGAATGGTGGAAAACAGCCCAATGAAGACCATTAGCTAGTATTTTGAGATTATGGATATGAAATAGCCCAAACAGAAATTATTAGAGCAAATGGTGTGGGATGGGGGCTTGGGAGGTAAAATCTGCAATTCCCCAGGTGACATAAGGCTATTCTACAATCTATCAGGTGTCTGTGTCTTTTATTGATTATAATAGTGAGTTAGATAATACCGCCCAAACAATTATAGGCTATTTAACAATAAACCTTAGAAACCATTTGTTTGTTTGTTTGTTTGTTTGTTTGTTTGTTTATGGCAACACTAAACTATCAATGTTGGCTCTCCTTCACCACCTTTTAGACATCTTCCATTAGAAAATAGTGTCATTATAAAGTGTCAAACTAGTGTTAGAAGTTCCATGATTAAATTCTTTTTTAAAGATTTATTTATTTATTATGTATACAGTATTCTGCCTGCATGTGTGCTAGCAGGTCAAAAGAAGACACCGCATCTCGTGGTTGTGAGCCACCATGTGGTTGTTGGGAATGGAACTCAGGGCCTCTGGAAGAGCAGTAAGTGCTCTTTAATCTGTGAGCCATCTCACTAACCCATCCATAATTATATTCTTGTTTAGTTAATTTCCACAGCTGAGTATGGTGTCACATGCCTTTAATCCTAGCACTTGGGAGGCAAAGATAGGCAGATCTTCCTGAGTTTGAGGCCTGCCTGGCCTATAAAGTTAGTCCAGAGTTCAGGATAGCCAGGGCTATTACACAGAGAAACCGAAAAACAAAAACAAATAAACAAAAAGTCAGTTCCACTCTTTCTGCTAATTGGAACAAGTAACTGCACTGCAAAAATGTCAGAGTCAACCTTGATTCAAAAGAAAGCAGAAATCTGTGGGAAACCAACACCTTCCTTTTGCATTACTGATAACCACGCTTCACACCAAACTTTCCTGCATTTCAATTAAGAATAGTGGAAAGCACATTCATGGCCTGAGCTTTGGTGTCCCTGCAACTGCCTCGATGACTCATCTTCTAATCAACTTAGAGACTTGGACGTCAATATGAGCCAGCCAACGCTGTCCTACATAATAGGGGGTATATTCATTGGAAGTTACAATTTCTAACTAAGCAAAAAGAAAAAAATAAAGCTGACCTCTTAAAGAAAAGGACAGATCTGGCACACTTCTCTCTCATCAAAAACATTACTGAACTATAGTAAAACATTGTTTTTATCAAGGAGAAAACAGAAGCAAGAAGTGGACCAAAGATTAATGACCCAAGCCGGGGTCTATCAGTCCATCCCTAAACGAAGTAGGAGGTGGAGACCGACATTGCACAGAGATGAGCAGGATGGAATCCCACAGTATGTCCTGCAGCACCACTCAAAGGAAGACAATGAACCTAGAAGTAAAGTTAGACAGTAATTCTAGCTGAACGCACGCAGTGAGGCATTGAAGATTTTGCATAAACGGTTGAATGCTAATGGAAACAATCATGATTTTTAGATTCTAAATAAAATGTTGATAAGCTACTTCAATTTATTTGTTAGAAAGTTTTCTGATGAAAGTAATTTTTAATCTTTTTTGTACATTTCCATACACTGAACTGTATCCACTGGGTTTAATTCTTATTTTGATCTAGTTGTCTTTCATCTTCCATTAGTTTTTATAAGGTAAGTTAAATCTCCTAATAAATTTTTAAAAAATTCCAAAGAAAGCTAAAGGCACAGTAGAGAACCGAGAAACAAATCTGCTGCCTCCTGCATGAGAGAGGAAAACTTACGTGAGAGGTAAACAGTGCATAGGAATAACAAAACATGCCTCCAGAGCATTGAAAGTTTTCATGCTTGGCATTGGTTTTATCTTAAGCTATTTGAAATCAAAGAAATTCATACAAATGTTTTGGGCCTCCAAATTTCAGCATAATATTTTAAAAAAATTCTCTGATTATCAAGATACCTTAAAGGGTTCCACCATAATGAAAATACAGTGTGAACACCAGA